AAGTATACCCTAAAATCAAATTTTCACCAGTTGTAGTCTCCGGGGTGCTGAGTCGAATGGTCTTGGTCCCAGGAAGCTGATACGCTCCCTTCCTCCTTCACTAGAAGCGCCATTTCGTTCTTATAAAAGGATTGATGACCGTGATTAGCAGCGTTTGGCCCTTATTCCCAATCGAACGGGTGAGTAAGCCGTCACGTGCTCATGCGTACACCAGTCGCCTGGTCAGTGGTCACAGTGCCATGCCTCCACGCGACAACTTACTTACTTTCACACCAAGGTTCAACTCAGAGGTTCAAAGGTTCAACTCAGAGGTTCAAAGGTTCAACTCAGAGGTTCAAAGGTTCAACTCAGAGGTTCAAAGGTTCAACTCAGAGGTTCAAAGGTTCAACTCAGAGGTTCAAAGGTTCAACTCAGAGGTTCAAAGGTTCAACTCAGAGGTTCAAAGGTTCAACTCGATCGAGTGACAGGAACGCTGTAAGTAGGTACTAGGTTAGGTCACTTTTTTATCTGTTCACCAATGGTCAATCCTTTCTAATTTTGTGTGAGATTTTATCTGATCAAATCCCATCCTATTGCGGTATTGGTACCTAATGTTCTGCAAGGATTTTAGAAATGAACTTCTCGACATCAAATCGGTCAGTTATACTCCGTGTTTTCGGTTTTTCAACAGCGTTCTTTTTCTCGCAGATCTATCTGTAACATATTCAGTTACCTTCGGTGACTTCTTTCAATTGTGATTTTTTTCTCCTCCCCTAGTAGTATAGGCCCTCCCCATTATTATTACATGTATTATATTAAAATAATGTCATGGCGTTATAACCTGGATGCATGATTGGAAGTTGCAGCCAAACGTTGATAAAACGGCAGCTATGTACATTTCCCCTTCTCCCCCTTCCCTGCCACTTTGTTTTCCTTCTTCAAGTGTTGCTATTCGTATTGTTGAAGAGCATAAGCATCTTGGCGTTATTATTGACTCTAATTTGTCGTGGTCACCCCATGTGCAGTATATCGGCAAGCGCACAAGTTCCATCCTTGGGGCTCTTCAAGCCCACTGTAGACATCTTCCTCTTTCTTGCAAACGCTTGTTTTATCGTTGCTATATATTGCCCTTACTTGACTACTGTGATACTGCTTGGTCTGGCATAACTACTACTGTATTGAACAAGCTAGAAACCCATAACCGCATGCTCCTTAAAATCTTATTTAGCAAAGATCGTCGCTTTCCCTCCGCTAGTCTTTACGAAATTGCCAAGATCAGTCCCCTTTCCACTCGACATAAGTACCACCTCTGTGTTCTCATACATAACCGTTAAAATATTACTAAATAAAATACCCTTGCATATGCAGGCTTATAATTGGTTCTCCGAAACACGGAATACCCGGAACTCACTCAGTCTCCCACGCGCTGCCTCCACCCTATTCACTAGATCCCCGATCTTTGCTGGCTATGTGTTTTGGGCAACATTACCAACGCAGGCCAAGACCAGCACGTCGATGGATAACTTAAATAAGGGCCGAATGCTGCATCGCAGCCTTTTCGGATCAAAGCCAGTCGCCTAAGCGTCCAAAAGACTACAACATAATATGGACCAATCGTGGTCGTCCGTGCTTTTATAAGAACGAAACGGCGCTTTTAGCGACTTTTGCATACAAATCGCCATCTAGTAGGGCGCAGTTCCAGGCCAAGGCTGCCTGAAAGGCCAGGCGAGATCTGCCGGCTTCTGACTGTGCCAAGGGGACAGTGAGGCCCCTGGAAACCTGGTGTCGGGTGGTGCTACCAGCTGATGGTGAGAATACTTGTAGGTCCTGAAGGACACTGCTGGCTTTCCCATTAAAGGGGAAGTTAAAGGGGAAGTTAAGGCAAAAATTAAAATTTCACCAGTTGTAGTCTTCGGGGTGCTGGGTCGAATGGTCTTGGTCCGAGAAAGCTGAGACGCTCCCTTCCTACTTGAATCCCAATCGAACTCGCGCACTTCCACCGAAACTGGGTGACTGCGCCCTACTAGATGGGGATTTGTATGCAAAATGTCACTAAAAGCGCCATTTCGTTCTTATAAAAGCCCGGATGACCGCGATTGGCCCATATGTTGTAGTCTTTTGGGCGCTGAGTCGACTGGTTTTGGTCCGAAAAGGCTGCGAAGCAGCGTTCCTCCTTTATTCCCAATCGAACATGGTTGAGCAAGCGGTCACGTGCTCCTGGGTGCCCAAATCACCTGGTCACCACGCCAGCAGGTGACAACTTTCACACCAAGGTTCAACTCGAGTGACAGGACTGCACCCAAAACGGTCAAACAGGCTAGTAAGTTGTACCCTGCAGGCACAGTGACCAGGTGACTGGTGTACGCAGGAGCACGTGACCGCTTGTTCAACCATGTTCGATTGGGAATAAAGGAGGAACGCTGCATCGCAGTCTTTTCGGACCAAAACCAATCGATTCAGCGTCCAAAAGACTACAACATAATATATGGGCCAATCGCGGTCATCCGGGCTTTTATAAGAACGAAATGGCGCTTTTAGTGACATTTTGCATACAAATCCCCATCTAGTAGGGCGCAGTCACCCAGTTTCGGTGGAAGTGCGCGAGTTCGATTGGGATTCAAGTAGGAAGGGAGCGTCTCAGCTTTCTCGGACCAAGACCATTCGACTCAGCAGCACCCCGAAGACTACAACTGGTGAAATTTTAATTTTTGCCTTAAAGGGGAAGTTAAGGCAAAAATTAAAATTTCACCAGTTGTAGTCTTCGGGGTGCTGAGTCGAATGGTCTTTGTCCGTGAAAGCTGAGACGCTCCCTTCCTACTTGAATCCCAATCGAACTCGCGCACTTCCACCGAAACTGGGTGACTGCGCCCTACTAGATGGGGATTTGTATGCAAAATGTCACTAAAAGCGCCATTTCGTTCTTATAAAAGCACGGATGACCACGATTGGCCCATATGTTGTAGTCTTTTGGACGCTGAGTCGATTGGTTTTGGTCCGAAAAGGCTGCGATGCAGCGTTCCTCCTTTATTCCCAATCGAACATGGTTGAAGAAGCGGTCACGTGCTCCTGCGTACACCAGTCACCTGGTCACCGTGCCTGCAGGGTACAACTTACTAGCCTGTTTGACCTTTTTTGGGTGCAGTTCTGTCACTCGAGTTGAACTCGAGTTGAACCTTGGTGTGAAAGTTGTCGCCTGCTGGCGTGGTGACCAGGTGATTTGGGCACCCAGGAGCACGTGACCGCTTGTTCAACCATGTTCGATTGAGAATAAAGGAGGAATGCTGCATCGCAGCCTTTTCGGACCAAAACCAATCGACTCAGCGTCCAAAAGACTACAACATATGGGCCAATCGCGGTCATCCGTGCTTTTATAAGAACGAAATGGCGCTTTTAGTGACATTTTGCATACAAATCCCCATCTAGTAGGGCGCAGTCACCCAGTTTCGGTGGAAGTGCGCGAGTTCGATTGGGATTCAAGTAGGAAGGGAGCGTCTCAGCTTTCACGGACCAAGACCATTCGACTCAGCACCCCGAAGACTACAACTGGTGAAATTTTAATTTTTGCCTTAACTTCCCCTTTAACACAGCGCCACATCAGGACGAGCCGCTTGTGGGGGTAACACTCGCGAACTCTGTACAGGGACATCCGTTCGAGCAGAGGCTGGGCAGAGGTGTGAGGCGGCAAACCGTATACCGCTCTCGCCGCTCGGTTCTGCAGGACCTGAAGGCGATCAAGCTGCGAAACCTTGAGGGAGGAAGAGAAGGTGCTAGACCCGTATAGGAGGTCAGGCATGATGACTGACCTCACATACTGTATGCGACTACTGAGGCAGAGACATCTGCGGGACCGCCACAGTGCTCCAATCTTCTGCACAACTTTCTTCGCAATCGCGTCAACATGGGGGTCCCGCTTCACAGCGGCATCACGGGTCACTTCGAGGTACCTTGCCGTTGGGCTCAGGGGAAGCTCTGTCTGGTTGCAGCGGACAGCGGCATGCTGACCCGCATTGCGTTGTGGTACAATCGACAGGACTGGCTCTTCTTGTCATTTAGAAGCAGATCTCGATGCTTGAGCCAATCAGCGACGTTGGTGACGGCCCCTGATAGGCAGGCTGATGTGGCTAGCACTGATTTCCGGTGGTAGTGAACGGCAATGTCGTCGGCAAATTGCAGAGATGGAGCAGGATGGGCTATGGCAGAGACATCACGGGTGTACATGCTAAACAGGATCGGTCCTAGGACCGAGCCCTGAGGTACACCAGATGAGCACTTAGCAGCAACACTGTAGGTGGGGCCAATGCGCACTTGCTGGGTTCGATCGCTTAGGTAGCTGCAGAACCAGCGAAGGGAAGCATTGTCCAGGCCGAGATCGAATAGGTCCCGGACCAGTTGGCTGTGATTGACCTTGGCAAAGGCTTTTGACATGTCGATTTGGGAGACGCCTGTGGTCAACTTGTCGTCCCGGGCCTTCAAGATGGCATCTGTTGCTACAACTAGGGCGCCCTCTGCGGAGTGCTCACGGCGGAAGGCAAACTGCGTCAGTGGTATGGCACATGATCGCTCCAGATGTGCAACAAGTTGCTTCTGGACTATCTTCTCAAGTAGTTTGGATACGATCGGCAAGAGCGACACAGGACGATAATTTGCAGCTACCGATGGATCGCCAGCTTTGAAGAGAGGGCTTATTACAGAATGTTTGATAGCCAGAGGGACTTCACCATGCCTCAGCGATGAGCTGAAGAGCACTAAAGTGCGCGAGTTCGATTGGGAATAAAGCCATTAAAGGAGGAAGGGAGCGTCTCAGCTTCCTCGGACCAAGACCACACAACAAACCGGGTGATAAAACCAGAAACTGTGACTTCAGGTTAGTTCAAGGAAAGCAGCATGTTCCCTGTCTTCACTCTATGCGGGTGAGACTGAGAGTGGTTTAATCACCTGCTTGAACCGGTGGCCGCGTCACACACACACACACACGATACCGTGAACCATACCAAACCAGAGTAGGCAGCACGGTTCATGGCACACCACAGTCTTCACACGCAAAACTCACAGAACCAATTACTTGTTGCAACACTATCGGATAAGGAAAACGGTAGCAAGGCAAAACACTGGAGAACACCGACACTTACTACTACTTATGATGGGACTTCCCCCTGGTTATCATACAACCATACACTGATACCATGGTGGAACACATGGTCCTAAACTGCTAATGGAAAATATGTGGAAGACAAAAAATACATGAATGGAAGCTGTGGCGAAAAATACTGGCTTGTTGAAAACGGGTGGCACTGTGATTGAACCCCATACAGTTGGAAACAACAAAAGTGATGCGCAAAAACAACAATTTCTCTTATTGATCACAGACAAGCATCGGGACAGTGAGAATAAAGGATGTCAAACAACAACAACAAAGAAGCAACAACTGTGTGGAACCAGCAGCCTATGTTAAAACTCTAGCCATACATGTAAGTGCAAACAACAAACTGCAGTTTTCACTACGGTATATTTACACCTGGGTATTGAATATGCACACTACAAGACTCGTGAAACATAGTGTCTGGGTTATTCATGATAGAGCTGTACGTTCCGTCCTTGACATTAAATGTTCGTATGTATCGTTAGAGTTTTATCACTTCAGTTTAGTACCATTGGTTTCTTGCACTTAAAGTTAACTCTTCAAGAGAGGCATGTGTATTGCTATCCAAGCACTCGAGGAAGCGGTGGAGTTGCTCCTGCCTCTCTAGCTTCTTCTCAATTCGAAAGAATCTCCTCATGACGATTGCCGTGAATCTTGACACTGCAGATGGGCACAGACGCACTAGACAAGGTCTTTGCAGATACTTTTTTCAGTTAACAACTGTATCTGCTGTTTTTCTGGTGTTTACTACTGCACAGGGCATCATGGAACATCAAAGCAATTCTGTAAGTCATTTGAAAAAAGAACGACTTTTAAGGTTTCAAAATAAATGGCAGTGACTTCGATGATAATTTTATGGGAAAGTTGGTTGTTATCCACACTGGAGCTCGTGGGAGAAAGTGTGAGCTCAGCGTGGGGAGCAACCAACTTTCCTTTGCAATCGGGTTATTCAGGGTTGCTTAAAGGGGAAGTTAAGGCAAAAATCAAAATTTCACCAGTTGTAGTCTTCGGGGTGCTGAGTCGAATGGTCTTGGTCCGAGAAAGCTGAGACGCTCCCTTCCTACTTGAATCCCAATCGAACTCGCGCACTTCCACCGAAACTGGGTGACTGCGCCCTACAAGATGGGGATTTGTATGCAAAATGTCACTAAAAGCGCCATTTCGTTCTTATAAAAGCACGGATGACCGCGATTGGCCCATATGTTGTAGTCTTTTGGACGCTGAGTCGACTGATTTTGGTCCGAAAAGGCTGCGATGCAGCGTTCCTCCTTTATTCCCAATCGAACATGGTTGTACAGAACTATCACATGTCACATGTTGCACGTTGATACTATTAGTGTATTGTAGTTACGATTTGTGTACAGAACTGTCACATGCTGCAAGGAGGGAGTGTGCGAGATTTACGAGTGTGATTTTGAGTGTGATTGGACAGGACACTGCGCTGAAATAGAATGAGTGTTGTTGGGATAACATCATTTACGAGTGTGTTGTTACAATACAGTGTTTGTTGTGCGTGTTTGTCGGATACGCCGATATAATCACTTGCATAGATAATACTTACGTTGTTGCTTGCATTCTCGCTCTCCACAGCAACTCCATTGCGTGCTGCGTTCTATGTATTCCTATTCTGTACACTGACTCTCTCTGACAGGGTTTGCTGTCACCCTGTCTCTGGGCGCAAGCACCCTCTGACAGACCAAACTGATTTGCTTCATCTCCACAATATTTATCTCCTTTCGATTTGAATTTCTGTTTGTTCTGCACTCTGATTTTTCCTTGTTGCACCTGCGCTTTTGTACGCGGAACTTTGCTGTCGCCATCGCGTCGCCATTATTTATATCCATGGTTACGTGGTGGTATGACTCATCGATGCATCATGCGCGCATGATCATTCTTCTTTTCTACTCGTACACTTCGATATGCATGCACGCACACTGATGTACACGTAGACTACACGTAAGCCAATGCACGCACGCGAGCACGTTTCGCTGAGGACAGCGATTTGAGAGAGAGAGTTTGTCAAGTTTGAGAGAATGGTGGTTAGCTTCTTGCCCAGATTAGTGACAGTTGTGGTTGTTGTTTGCCTTTGCGTTTTCCGGGTTTCATTCTCTGCATTTTTAGTTGTGTTCCATGTCTGCATGTTGTTTTCCGAGTGTCAGTTCACTACACCAGAGTTCGAACAATTAGAATTTAATACAGTCTTCACCGAAAGGGAAAGAGTCCTAAACAATGGTTGAAGAAGCGGTCACGTGCTCCTGGGTGCCAAAATCACCTGGTCACCACGCCAGCAGGCGACAACTTTCACACCAAGGTTCAACTCGAGTGACAGGACTGCACCCAAAAAAGGTCAAAACAGGCTGTAAGTTGTACCCTGCAGGCACGGTGACCGGGTGACTGGTGTACGCAGGAGCACGTGACCGCTTGTTCAACCATGTTCGATTGGGAATTAGGGGCGAACGCTGCTCGCAGCCTTTCCGGACCAAAACCAGTCGACTCAGCGTCCAAAAGACTACAACATATGGGCCAATCGCGGTCATCCGTGCTTTTATAAGAACGAAATGGCGCTTTTAGTGACATTTTGCATACAAATCCTCATCTCGTAGGGCGCAGTCACCCAGTTTCGGTGGAAGTGCGCGAGTTCGATTGGGATTCAAGTAGGAAGGGAGCGTCTCAGCTTTCTCGGACCAAGACCATTCGACTCAGCACCCCGAAGACTACAACTGGTGAAATTTTGATTTTTGCCTTAACTTCCCCTTTAAAAAAAGGAAAAAAGGAAAGTATCGTGTCCGTTCCCGAAGGGAACTCACGACGGCCGCTAACACCCGGTAAACCCTAGCGGGTTGCTTAGGTCTATAATAATCATGAAACATAATTATTCGATGTCCAAAGCCATTTTATGTTCGATTTTGTTCAAATCTTAAGGGTCGCATCGTCATGAGAGTAAGCAATCCACCCCCGAACAATTTGATAACGTGCAATAAATCCTTCTCTAAGCTTGGGGCCGTGAAAGTTACAACCATGTGTTCGTATTTTTATCCCAAAGTATGGGCAAAGAGCACTTACAAAAACAGGATTAAGCTTTTGTTTGATGCCTAGCACATACGTTGTAGCAAAGGGAATGTTCTCGTTGGGTGTTGCTCTCTGTGTATTCATATTGCAGGGAAGAAACCCGTGAAGCATTGGAATCCATACTTACATAGGTGCCTTGGCGCAGATGTTCGGCATGCCGAGCGCTTGCCTCCATTTGTTCTGGCTGAGTGTCGCTCTCTATGTCTGAATCATATTGTAGCGACGATACAGACGAAGCATGGCAAATCATGCTAACATCAGTGTCTTCGCTCAGATGTTCAGCATGCCAAGCGCATGCTTCCACTTGTTCTGGCTGGGTGTTGCTCTCTGTGTCGGAATCATATTGTAGCGAAGATACAAGCGAAGCATTGCAATCCAGACTTACATGAGTGGCCTGGCTCTGATCGGAAATGGACTGAGCGTCTTCCTGCATTTCCACCTCCAGTTCCACATCTTGTCCGTATGAGTGATTCGGTGATGGTGGTGGTGATGGTGGTAGTGGTGGTGGTGGTGGTGGTCGTGATAGTCGTGGTGGTCGTGGTGGTGGCGGTTGTGATAGTCGTGGTGGTGGTGGTGGTGGTGGTGGAGGAGGTAGCTGCACGAGAGGGATAGGGGGTGACAGCCGGCCTCCACCAGGATATGCAGCATATACTCCAGCCGATGCTGGGCTCTGCATGGGAGTTTGTGCATGTACTACAGTGACATGCTGGGGCTGCGGCTGAGGAATTGCAATGAGTCCCTGTTGGCAATATGGGACATTAACGAAGACCGGGGGCTGTCCTTGAACAACCTGGTGCTGCAGGCTAGTATATGCACCAAGTTGGGCTCCGGTGATAGGTACCGGTTGTACCCCATTCGGAAAGGCACAAGGTTGTAGTACCGGTGGCATGGGGAGCAAGTATTGGACTCCAGGCTGAGGACTGAGCACATGTTTCAAAAAGAACATCCACACAGACAAACACAGATACACACACACACATCGACATGAACCCATACCAAAGAAGATAAGGTGAGAACCATCGAACAGAATATACTTGAGTATGCTACATTCCAAGGCTGCGTGGAATGGTGGCTTGTGACGATGCCGGAACAGTTAGACCATTGGGCAGTACGGTCATCTCATCACAATTCGACAACGCAAAGCAACAACCACCCAACTTAGGAGGCTCCATTGTATCGAGGATTAGATATAAAAAGGAAGCTTCGTGAGAACGAATTAAAACAAACAGCAAAGCACTATTTTGAAGGCAATGATGGGCACACTAACTCCAATACCATAATATTGTATCACACGACTATCGTTCTGCATTATTAGTCATGCCAGCTCTTCAGGTGTGCGATACGAACCCAGGCAGTGAGGTTAGGTTGTTGCTTTGCTTTGTCAAAATTGTGCTGGCTAGACCGTACTGGGTAGTAGCCTGAACACCACCATTTACGCCCACCTAGAGACCTTTGACCTGCAGCTGCCCCTTTCCATACGGGTAATGGTTCACATCACCGTCATTGCAGGTACAGTAGTATCCCTGTACATAGAGTAATTTCAGGATAATATCGGTTTCGTCTGAAATTAGCGCCACGGCAAAAGATAGGCGTGTACAGTGTACGCAGCTAGCTACGTACATGATAGGTATGTACAGTGGCAGTACATGTGTGTTAGGCTGCCATGTAGCATTGGCCGGACTTTTTGGCGACAATTGTACTACTACTAGCACAGAGCTTCTACTGTTGTGGACATTGAAGTCCGGTATGACGATCGACCGGGTTTGGGTTTGGCACCCCAAGTGTGTACTTCAAAAGTACTCACACACTGCAGTTCACGTACACACTAAAAAATTGGACTTAAATGTATAATGGTCCTTATGCACGTTGTACAGATGTACGAAGTTCTGTACTACAGTCAGTTTCAAAAAGATTAGCAATCCTGGCTATCGCCTGGGGAGTTTGCCGTCTTACCGTACGAGCGCTCGAGTGCTGGCTGGAAAAACTCACTGTGAACTCGAAGAAATATTCCGCGCCAAAGCATGAAAAATGACAACTCACTCACGTCGGTACATGTACGTCTGTACGAGTTCTTCCTCGTATCGATATAGAGAGGACACGACTGTCGAAAGTGTAGTAAAGTATGTTGACGAGCGGGATGGGTCCCAATTCGTTTCGTGCCCAAATAGTTTCTGTGAGCGGCGATGTAATTTACTCTCACGATGTGACGAAAACGACATCGACACAGACTCATTCCCAAGGCCATGACTTGGCAAAGCTATCCGTGTGACTTCGACGACATTTTGAGAAAAGCAGATGCCTGTGAAAGCTGATAGAAGGCGGCGTTGACTCCTAAATTCAAATAAATTGGCTATCTTGAAATTGACTTCCGTGTTCACTCACACCGTTTCAGTTTGTGGGTGTGTTCACATGGGGTGAACCAGTCAAGTGTCAGTAAGTTCGGCAGGAAACACGAGCTCCAACAACAAGTCATTTGGGGCAGCCACCTTCTTTGTCTTGTACTTTTTGTAGATCTACTAGAGTGATCATGAAAACAATGAAAAAAAATAAGTTTGACTTGAAGATAGTTTGGGATTTGAACTCACAACTTCATGGTCAGCAGACAGCATTCATAACCACAAGGCCAAAAAGGAAGGGATAAATCGGGGGTTTTGATTAAGAATCGATACTGGCTTCCAGGGCAAATTGTAAACCATGGGAAAAAGCCGGAAACCTGGCCGAAATTCTAACTCCTTAACGGCTGGCCCAATTGTTCCAAAGCCTTCACAGGACAATTTGCCATGCCCTAACAAGCCATTTTATGTACTTTGTTGTCCGAATTTCCCTTATCTTCATACTTTTTAAGACTAAAACCTGATTGCTAATCTTTTTGAAACGGACTATAGGGCCGTAAGTGTGTACATACCCGGTTGGGTGTTCATTGTGTGCTATACATGCGCGTTTGACCCATTTAGCCTCATAATTCATGGGCAAACAATCGCTTTTCCAGCTTGTTCACTTTGGGATCGAACTAACGACTAGCTAGATCTCTGCCGGAAGAAAGTTTTAGTATGAAATGGCTTCAGGGGCCCACTTCATAGTGGAAATGGCAGTAAACACAATAGGCTCCTGCACATTCAACACTCAACTGGGTCTAGTACACGGCTGTTTTTTTGTGCGATTTCACGCCACTTACTTACTTAACCATATGGCCGCCGAAAGTTTCGATTGGGCTTCAATGGCAAGAAAATTTGAATTTTCAAATCGTCAGAACAAGAGTAGGCCATGGTTTCCACTGGATTTTGGAGACTAGTCAGCCCGGACAGCCCGGGGAACACGCTGATCATCTGTGTCTTGTTTCAAGCTCTCCGCTCGTACCTCACATGACTGACTTTCCTTCAAGAAACATTTGTTGTGTCGTGCGACTTTAGCTTCGTTCTGGAATACTCCTTGTGTCGTCGCTGACAAACTCGGCTCCGAGAAGCCCTTCCCGATTTTTTCCCAGCTTAGAACGATTTTTTCCCAGGTAGAGGACTATCCTCTGGTTGTCTTCCCCAAGTGTCATTAGAATACGCGCGTGATTTTCTAAATACGCGCGACGAGTCAGGAGCCTGTTTTCTCTTGATTTGGAAGACAAAATGGTGTGGCCCTTTAGTTGCTGTTGAGTGTAGAAGGCTGCTTCCTGCTGTAAATTGCTTAGTCGGCATGTGGGGTATTGTAAAAGAAGACAGCAGCCGGCCAAGTGAGCTTGAAATTGTGATATCTACCCTATTGTGCGTTGAACGATTACGAAATGTCTAACTTGAATGTTGTACGCGAGCACGCCAAGCAGAGGCTGACAATCACTAGCGAGATCAATCTCCAGACTGCCAGGAGTACTTCGAGCAAGTTTGAAGCGGAAAGACAGCTAATTGGGCAGGCCAGGACGCCTTTCCACCCTCTTTCTCTCTCTCAAATTGCCGAAAAGTCGAGTATCTCGCTCGAGCGCTTTCAAAACTTTTCTCTTGGTTTCGCGTCCCAAATCGTGGAACCACGCGAGGATCGACATGAGTTTCTTGCAAAACGCAAACTCATCGCATATTTGTACTATTCGCACAATATTACATAAATCGCACCAAACGACGCCATATTGATAAGTGCCTGCACGTGAACATCCGTGTCTACGGGATTCTATAAGATTCTACGGGATTTCTTGCATCTGTACAACGTGCATAAGGCCTATTAATTTTACGTTATCATTTCCGACTTCTTAGTGAAGGACAAACTAGGCAACTTTTGCTAGGACGTTGGTCGAGCTTCTCTACGATTTAACCACTGATAACGTCCTATATGTACCGATAACCATATTGTATTTAAGTTAGGTTGCCAACATATTCTAAGTCTCACGTGCGCCTTATACATCGAATGTCATCAAAATGCAAACTTTGGGCTCGAAAAGGGACGCGTGGCTTATCCTGGTGCGGCTAAAGCTTTGTTCATGAACTGGTGCGCTTACGTGGCGTGATCAGGCCTTCACAGAATACTGCAGTTGGAGTCATTATTCCCGTAGCTATGCAGAAGACGTTACTTCAGTAACGTCTGGCGCTAGCCAGGGTCCACACAGCTTTAATTTGGTATTTGTGTGTTTGTTTGTTTGTGTCACGCCTGGCGCTATCCGTATCCGACGGCAAAAAAAGCATAGGGATGTTATAAATTTTTCAATTCTCCTATATTTTCAGGCATATGCTGGGATTCGAACCTGCTCTATCGCCCTACATGCATTCCCCCATACACTTCGCATTCATACCCATTCTTCCAAGTTGCTTCACGTTTTGATCTTGCGTTTGAAAGCCCTATTTGAATATTGCGGGCAGCTGTATGTGGCCAGCTGTGTTTGATGGTATGGTACGGTACGGGAGACGGTGTCGTATTACCCTCGATCGTACCTGTCCCGTACCTATCCCCTACCGTACCGTGCCATCAAAGACGGCTGGCCACAATGCATATTCAAATAGGGCTTTCAAATGCAAGATCACAATGTGAAGCAACTTGGAAGAATTAGAATGTGTGCGAAGTGTATCGGGGGATGCATGCAGGGCGCGCGATAGTGCGGGTTCGAATCCCAGGTTATGTCTTTAAAAAAAAAGGAATTTTTTAAAGAATTTATAACATCCCTATGCTTTTTTTTGTCTAGGTCATCAAGGCAAAAAAGCATAGCGTAGGGCCCTGAGCTTCCAAGCTCTCTCGTTTGGGGCATGCTATGCCTTGAGTTATAATATCTTGGTCCCACCAGTCTAAGGGGCCGTTTACAAGAGAAATATAAGCCCGGGCTAATTCAACCCTAGGCTTACGACAAGCCCGCCTTGATCTGTCACCCAGTCATTTTAGAGCGCACGTTTACATGGCGAGGCGGGCTTATTCAGCTCGCCCCGAGCTGAACTAGCTCTACCCTTGACCCCCCGAGCTAATCCAACCCCTAGGACTTATTTTGTCATTTAAACGGTTCAGAATATAAGCCCTGACCTTGTAAGCGAAATTTTCCGTATCTTTTGATTTTGCCTTTGTGAACCTGAAAGGATGTTGCCATGGACAGTGGGTCTTTTTGGTTCCTTTTTGGCATTTTTCTTCGCATTTTTCGTTCAGTGGACGGTCCCAGCCGATCCTTCACCTTCTTGAAAATAAGTGAAAAACGGAAAGGCAGTAGAAGCGTGAGCCGGCACTCCTCGATCCAAATTTCATGATACACGTACATTTACCACTGCGTTCATGTGCGATTTGAAGTGATAATGCGCGCAGAACTTGCAGTCACTCACCTGAACTCAGCCCCGTACAACTGTCATGTAAACGGTTGAAATATAAGCCCGAGGCGAAAAAGCCCGGGCGTATTTTTATCATGTATACGGCGCGTGAGTGACGGCGTATACTACTGTAGGCACCTGATACACACTGAAAAATGGACATGTTGGAATTTCCATTTCGGCACGTTCAATATGCATTGCACCCACAACTCCAAAAGCCAACAAAAAATACGCACAGATGCATGGTTTCACTCCACCACGCACCAGTTGTGAACACAGCTTAGCACTTGCAGGTTACCTGGTTACTGTACATGCCAGTCAGTTTGACTGGAGCGGTCAAAATATTTGTCCCCAAAGCCGACCCGCAGTCGCACATCCTACTGCAAAATTCCCCGACGCAGCTCACGAGATCAATGTGTAGTTTCTCTTCACTCAGTACCGAAAGGCGGGCTCACGCCCCTACAATGTTACATGGCTACTTCCCCTTGTCTAACCCCCAAGACGAAATGATAGTATCCGACTGGCCGAAATAAAAAAATACAAAGCCGACCCACGCTCTAGGATGAAATACGGCTAGTGAAAGCCTGAACGCGAGTTTGCATTTGGGCACGCGTACACGCATGACACGGAAGCGTACTATAGTACACTACCGCGTAGACGGGCCAGTTAGCTATCACCGGAACACAGCCTGACACTGTGGCAGTGCAGTTTTGGTGACGAGAGATTACCACGAGGCATTTTTCCTGTACAGATAGAAACAGCAAAATCCACGCGCTACTCTTTCACAGCACTGAGTTTGTAACTGTTTGAGTTTGACACGGTGATTTTGTGTCGGCAACAACTCTGCGAAAACTGTTGGCATTCTTTCGTTTTACGTTTGTCTGCGGAAAAGCCAAAACTGAGAATGACAAGAATTACCAGAATGCACTCACTGTAAATACTAATGGTCGACATTGCTGCTATGCTGCAGGTCCAGGAAAACCAGGATTTGTCAATTCCGCAGCTTGAACCCGTCCGCTGACCCAGTCGCTCATGTTTGCTGCCGTCTCCATAGCTCGCTCGGCCTTGCTGAACTGGCGGTATATCTAATTACTTCCTCTTTCGCATTTCAACAAGCGACTACGACACGGAACTATACAATGTATAGTCGCCTTCACCAATGTTCACAATCACAGACCTACTCCGGCTATTGACGTACTGTCTGTTTTCGCCGTCACGTCAACATGGTCAAGACTGACCCATGTGTAAACGTACAGATGTATTTGAAGGATTGATCTGGAGAAAAGAAAACATTCTTCTTCCCAATCTTGGTTCTTCAAGAAACTGGCGTGAAGGTAGTGTGTATGCGCGCGCGCCGCAAGCAGGCCAGGGCGTAGATAGCGAAGGTGAGATATTCGAGGCGTGGCACGTTATTGCTACTGTGGTCTGCATCCGTTCAGGGCATCAGTTTATGACTAATCAGCACAGGGTAGTGACCATGGTGACAGTGATCATGGTGATCATGCGTGAGCATTGGTGATACACTGCTAAGTGCTATGCTGTACGATGCGTTACTGGTCATGATGATCAGTTGAACTACAGACAATACTTGATGCCGAAACCATGGTAACACTCTAGTCTACTTAGTACCAAGAGTACATGAAAACCAGAGTGTGCAGCTTGGGGCCTTTTCTGCTATGGGTGTCTGTCACGGCGAAATTCCGTGATTTCATCATATTTGGCCCAGATCTGAGGTGGGAAATGGCGTAGTGCGTACAACTGAGCTGCAGTTGTGCAGAAAGAGACCTGCTTGAATCCTGCTTGTACGCACTACATCACTAAAATGATGTAATCACGGAATTTCGCCGTGACAGCAACCCATCCGAGCTGCACACTCTGGTTTTCATGTACTGTTGTTAGTACACACAGTCACACATGAGGGAAACAGTCATGAGAAAGGTGACCATGGTGACAGTCAGTGGAGTCAGTACTCAACTCACTGAGTGGATGGAGTCACTCATCTAAATCGTCGACAAACTGCTGCGACACGCTCTCAGGAGACGCATGAACGAACTCTGGAACGTAGAGACCGTGACTGCCGCCGAACTGCTGAGGCACGTTCGCATGAGACACCTGAGCAGGCAGACCATCGCCGAAGTCAAAGCCGTATGTAAGTTGCCAGAGCGAGGTCACTCGAGACGCAAGGGGACACGGAGGTACGAAGAAGCCAAAATGCTCAGCGGGTGGGAGCACCCCCGGATGAAAATGCATCCGCCACAGGGCCAGATCCCCACGAACAGCCTATGGCCACTACGAGAGCAGGTGAGCGTACTGGTAATTTCACCCGTAACATACAGACCATTAAACCAGATATCTGGGGTAAACTGGGCTTCCATTACGACAGCAACTTGGACTATCCCACTCACAGGTCCATCACATTAGGTGGCATGAACGTCCTGTGTAAGCATTGCAAGGCCACAACGTGGAAAATGAGCCGCCAGGTATATGTTGCTCAAGTGGAAAAATTGATCTCCCAGACTATGCAGAGCCACCTCAGCCGCTCAAAAACCTGCTTTCTGGCCTTACAACTCAGGAATCCAAGCACTTCCTCCAGAGCAATCGCAAATACAACAGTGCATTCCAAATGACATCATTTGGTGCGAATGAGCAGTACATGGACGGCTTCATGCCAACGTTCAAGGTGAAAGGGCAAATCTACCACAGACTTGGGTCAATCCTTCCCCCGGCAGGCGAAGAGCACAAGTTCTTGCAAATTTATTTCATGGGTGACAGCGAACGAGAAACTAGCAGGCGGTGCGAAGTTATTCACAACCTCCACCACGTCACTGTTGCAGACCTGCAGGCGATGCCCCATGCGCACAATCCGCACATCGTCAACATCAAGACGGCATTGGATGTTGGCAATGTCCCAGACTTGCGACTGAAGTTGAGCGCAGACCGAGCACCACAAGGTGAACACCCCGGTCGCTTCAATGCACCCACAGTCAATGAAGTTGCCGTTCTGATGGCAGGCGATGCGCATGAAAAGAGGGACATTGTACTGCGTTTGAAAGACGAGTCTGTGAACAGGATAGCGGACACACACAGGTCATACGATTCCTTGCAATGCCCTTTGCTGCTGCCGTATGGCGAAGATGGCTATCACTTCCTACATAGGCAGGTCAATGCGCAGACCCGTGTTCCGACGAGCAAGAAAGTGACAGCGAGTGACTTCTACGCGTACAAACTGATGGTCCGCAATGACTCCTTCAACACAATCCTCAGAGGTGCTCAGTTATTCCACCAGTACATTGTTGACATGTATGTGAAGATCGAATCTGAACGTCTATCCTTCATTCGCTTTAATCAGGCCAGTCTCCGAGCAGATACCTACGTTCATTTACGTGACGCCATCAGCAATGACGGAAATCCTGCAAACGTCGGTCGGCAAGTCATTTTGCCCGCAACTTTCACTGGCGGCCCACGATAGATGAAAGAAAAGACACAAGATGCAATGACGTATGTTCGAGAGCGCGGCAGGCCACAGATTTTCATTACCGCCACATGCAATCCTAAGTGGCCCGAGATAGCTGCAGAGCTTTTTGACGCCCAGTCACTGCATGACAGAAACGACCTCATCGCACGTGTCTTCCGTTTGAAATCAAAGTTGTTCATGGATGTCCTGACAAAACGCGAATTGTTCGGCCCGAGCACTTGCAACATGCACACGATAGAGTGGCAAAAGAGAGGCCTGCCGCACATGCATGCACTACTGTGGCTCCAGCATTCAATTCCATCTGCTGATGTGGATGATGTTGTTCGTGCGGAAATTCCCTCGGCGGAGGATGACCCTGTCCTCCATGACTTGGTCAAAAAGCATATGATCCATGGACCTTGCGATGCACTAAACACAAGCGCGCCATGCATGAAAGATGGGAAGTGCAGCAAAGGGTACCCCAAACCAATGGTGAAACACACCCAGACGGACAGGGATGGATACCCTCTTTACCGCAGGCGCTCCCGGGAAGATGGCGGGTCATTCACGGTGTTGAAAATTAGAAACGAAGAAGTCGAAGTCGACAACAGATGGGTTGTGCCTTACAACCCAGTCCTCCTTCGATTGTTCAGTGCGCACATCAATGTGGAGGTGTGCAACTCTGTAAAGGCCATCAAGTACATCACAAAGTACATCAACAAAGGTTCGGATCAGGCAGTCTTCGGTGTCCAGAATGAGAACGATGAGGTCAGCAGGTACCAGACAGGTCGGTATGTTTCCAGTAGCGAGGCAGTCTGGCGCATTTTTGGCTTCCCGATTCATGGCAGGTATCCAACAGTCACCCACCTTGCGGTTCACTTGGAGAATGGCCAGCGAGTCTACTTCACAGAAGAGACCGCCCATGCGGTAAGTGAGAGTCCGCCAGAGACTACTCTCACTGCTTTCTTCAAGCTTTGTGCCACTGATGCCTTCGCGAGAACTCTTCTGTACAACAGCGTGCCTTCCTACTTCGTGTGGGATGCCCAACGGAAGAAATTCAAGAGGCGCAAAGTCGGCACTCCTGTCCCAGGCTACGAGGGGGTCAGGAAAAGTGATGCTCTCGGCCGAGTGTACGCTGTGCACCCAAGGCAGGCAGAGTGCTATTACTTGCGGCTCCTTCTGCACACTGTTCACGGGCCGACTTCGTTCGATGATGTCAGGACAGTAGATGACCAAGTTTGCGAAACGTACAGGCAAGCCTGTCAGCTTCGGGGTCTGCTGCAGGACGACGAGCATTGGCTCAGTGCCTTGCTTCAGGCTGCCGAGTCCAGCCATCCAGCTGCGATCAGGCACCTCTTTTCCATCATGATGTCCTTCTGCGAAGTTAGTGATCCTTTGCGACTATGGAATGAATTCCGTGAGGCAATGTCAGAAGATTACTTGCAGGCGGCGGCGCGTCGACAGGAAGGGAATGAGGCGCGAACATTTCCTCAGATGGAGTTCGATCAGTGCCTTTGCGCCATCCAGACACACCTTCTCACCATGTGCGGTAGAACCTTGGTAAGTGCAGGCCTTCCAGACCCATCACAGGCAAGTTCAACTCTGTCCGACCAGCCTCTTGCAAGGGAGACCAACTACGACCGTGCCGCGTTGCTTGAGCAAGTACGACAACAAGACCCGACACTAACCGACGATCAACGTTTGGCGTATGACGCAATTTGTGACCAGGTACAGACAAGTGACGGTGGGTTGATTTTCCTCGACGCACCCGGTGGTACAGGTAAGACGTACGTCACAAACTTACTTCTTGCAAAGGTTAGATCAGGTGGACACGTTGCCTTGGCTGTTGCCTCTTCCGGAATAGCAGCCACACTCTTGGCTGGTGGTCGGACTGCTCACTCCACGTTCGCTTTGCCCTTAGATCTGCACCGCCTTGAGGAGCCAACCTGCTCGATCGCCAAAGATTCTGAGAAAGCAGCTCTCCTTCGTGAGGCTGTGCTGATCGTGTGGGACGAATGCACGATGTCACACAAGCATGCTTTCGAGGCTGTCGACAGGACTTTGCGAGACCTGCGCAGCTCTAATTCCTTGATGGGTGGTGTGACGGTTGTGATGTCCGGTGACTTTCGCCAAACGTTGCCTATTGTTCCTAGAGGCACTTCTGCTGATGAGATCAATGCCTGCATCAAGTCTTCGGCGCTCTGGCGTTCCGTGGTGAAGTACACACTTACCACAAACATGCGAGTTCTGCGTAGCAGTGATACCAATGCGGGTCAATTCTCGGCGCAGCTCCTTAAAGTCGGCAACGGTGCAATACCCGTTCTGCCTTCAGGCGAAATTGCGGTTCCGGGTGATCTCGCACAGACTGCTGCTTCCCAAGAAGACATTGTACGAATAATCTACCCTGATGTCGCGGACAATTTTGTAGATCCCACTTGGTTGAAAGAAAGAGCTATCCTTGCACCTTTGAATGACACTGTCACTGACATGAATGGGATACTCATGCACAAACTGCCAGGTGACTTGGTCCAGTACGAGTCTGTTGACACTGTCGAAGATGACGACTCTGGTGATTACCCTGTTGAATTTCTGAACTCCTGTAACCCCTCAGGCTTACCAAGTCACCTGCTTCACCTCAAAGTGGGTGTGCCGGTCATGCTTCTCAGGAACCTGGATGCGCCGAAGTTGTGCAATGGCACAAGATTAATTGTGAAGCGCATCCAGCGACATGTAATTGAAGCTGAGATTTTGACTGGGTCGGGTGCAGGAGAACCGGTGTACATACCGAAAATACCCACGACATCCACCAATCTGCCATTCCAACTTCGACGCGTCCAGTT